CAGCAGTTCGTGCACTCGACAGCGATGTGGGGGTCTTTGTGGGGGACACCCCGTATGGGGAATTCCAGGCCAGGTACTGGAACAGCCAACAGGACTTTCTGGAGGACAGACGGGCTGCAGTGGACTGATTGTGCTGGAAAAACTACAAGGTGTCCACCCCGTTCACTGTGAACCGCAGAGGTGAGCGCGGGGCAGAGCGGGTCCCCTCGGGAATTCTCCTGCCCCGGGAACGACCCTGGAGACCCTCAAACCCTCCCTAGGACTCACCCCAGACCCCTCAGCCCTCCCTGTGCCCATCCTCGTCGTCTTTTTCCCCATACCAGTGGCCCCGAATCCATGCCACTCTCTCCCAGTGCCCCTCATTCCATTTCGATCCATCCTAGTTTCTCCCAGTGCCCCCCAGTACATCCCAGCCTCTTCCAGTGCGTCCCCGCGTCTCCGCCCCGCTGGTGCCACTCTCCCGCCCCTCAGCCAATCAGAGCTCGTCTTTTTGATGACTCATCAGTTGCCGGGCAGACCCGCAGCACAGAGTTCCCTCTCCAGGACTCAGCCTCCCAGTCTCGCTCAGGTCCTTCCCAGTCCATCCCAGTCCCTTCCAGTCATTCCCAGTCCCTCTCACTCCTCTCCCAGACGCTCTGACTCCATTCCCAGTCATTCTCAGTTCACTCTCACGTCTCCCAACTCTCTCCCAGTGACCCCCCCAGCCCATCCCATTCTACCCTCGTCCATTCCCAGTCCCTCCGAGTGCCATCCCAGTCCCTCCTAGTGCCACCCAAACCCCTACCAATGTCCTACAAACCCTCTCCCCTCTCTCCCAGTGCCCCCCAGCTCAACCCAGTGTCTCCCCTTCTTGCCCAGTGTCCCCCAGCTCAGCCCAGTGTCTCCCTCGTCTCTCCCAGTGCCCCCCAGCGTGTCCATCTCGCTGGTACCATCGAGCTCCCAGCCCGGCCCCAGCCCCTGCTCTGCTCCGTGATGGATTTCTACCCTGCCCGGTGCAGGTGAGGTGGTTCCAGGATGGGCAGGAGCTGCCGGAGCACGTGGTGGCCACCGACGTGGTCCCCAACGGGGACTGGACCTACCAGGTGCTGGTGATGCTGGAAATCCCCCCCCGGCACGGGGTCACCTACACCTGCCAGGTGGAGCACGTCAGCCTGGAGCACCCCCTCAGCCGGCACTGGGGTACGGCCCGGCCCCCCCAGCATGGGGGGACACTGGCAGGGGGGTCAGGGGGAGCACTGGGGACACTGGGAGGGAGATTGGTGGTCATGGAGAGGCTGAGGAGGAGGTTGGGTGGTCCTGGGAGGGCTGAGAGGGGCTGTGGGGAGTCGTGGGGGTGACTGGAAGGGTATTTGGGGGAGCCTGGGTAGGATGGCAGGGAGGCTGTGGGGGGGCTTGGGT